AAAAAAGTTCACCTACCCAGATCACACGTAAATTTGTGGCAATGTTCGTGGCTCATGGTCAAACGGTTAGTTGTTCAACCACTGACGGGGAGTTCGCTTATTCGAACTCGAAAGATGAGTGGTATCTAACTGAGAGCTAATTACAGTGCTGACCAGCCACTTGTGGCCAAACAGTGAAATGTTCAACCATTGGCCCGAAGATTTCGGGTTCAAAGTTCTCCGAGTTTCGCGGGACGCTCACTGCCGACGATTCCAAACAAGGAGGTCTTCGCCCTTCAGCATTGACTAGCTTCACTGACGGGACGAGATCTCTGCCAAATCCCCTCACATCATCATCATCAGTTTGAATTGTGTCACGTGACTGGTCCAAACGAGTAAGTAAACTCATGGTCCTGACGTTTGGCGACTTACCTCTCTCCCGTTCAACTGGCAGTCGCCGTTCCCTCCTACTCTCACCTCATGATAACCTACAGTTTGTGCAGTTTTTCCTGGCTCCATCAAATAACTTGATCGTTTGTGGTCCACCGAACAGAAGCATAAAACGAGAGATTCCGCTGGGTTCGAGGTGAGTCTCTAGAAAAATCAAATTAGTTTGCTAGAAGCATAAAACATTATGGTACTGCCTTATCCTGAGAGGCCTACAATAGACCGAGAGTCCAATAGACCCATCTGGCTGCCTAGTTGGCAAACTACATCAGAAGAGCATGAACTGTTTGCTTTGATTGTGCGTGTAAAGCTGTGGTTTGGACTGAGTTGAGAAGAGCCAGTCTCTAATCTGATTGGTTTTTTGTCCAAACATGATGATAAATTTCTGGTACATGTGGCGCTTAGACATAACCATGTTGGCTAATCGCAAAGCTGTGATTGGATTGGACTGAGTTGCGAAGAGCCAGCCTCTAATCTGATTGTTTTTTGTCCAAATACGATGATAAATTTGGGGTCCTCGTGGCGCTTAGACATAAGCATGTCGGCTAGCTTCTGGTACATGTGGCGCTTAGACATAACCATGTTGGCTAATATTGTGCGAGTGCTGAGTCAAGATGACTCAGTGGTTAGAACTCAGACTTACTGACCGGAAGGTCCGTGGTTCGAACCAGACGTCAGCCTCTCGACTTCTCCTGTCTAGGTTTGGGCAACCTGGCAGTATCCCACCCCTCATGCTTCCTTGTGGTGGCATGGCAATTAGACACCGAATGGGTGCCACGGCTGGACGATTTCAAGTGTTGTGCCAAGGAGACTACCACCGCTTCGAAATGATCACAATGGATTGTCGGCCCTGTTTTCTGACGTTCCTCGAAGCCATGGTCAAAACCAGACAAAATCCAATTCTGTATGTTGCCGTTGCCGTAACCGTAATGTTATGCTTACTGTGACCTAGACTGCCGAATGTCCAATCACCCTTCCTCATTTTCAAAATTTGAATTCCCGATAAGATCGTCATTGGTTCGTAAGAGTGAATGACACGCCGCAGTCCCATCTGTTCTACCGATTTCGTCATTCAAATCCGCAAAGGCAAGTCAGCGTTCTACATCAGCGTCCAACTTTTCAAGGTTACCAAGCAGTTTTTGATCATACCGGAAATTGTTAACGTAAGGCAGAATTAAGTGGTCCCCAAAAGGTAACCTGATACCGCATTTGTTTCTCCCCATAGAGACTAGACGGTTGGAGTTAGCAGATTTTGATTGATTGATGTCAACGTTCAATAAGACCTCATACGAGCTGAAAATCGACTGATCGGAACCAGTTGCGTCCATCCAGTGGATCTTACTCAGAGCGTGGGAGGCAGAGAACTGAACGTAAAATTTCACCGCCATTGATCGATACTTACCAGATCTTCCATGGGGTTCTGGCATAGTCAGGTTCCTCACAGTTTTCAGGGCGTTTTTAAAACCAATAAAAATATCTCAGAAAGTGGTCATTGTGACAAATGTACTACTAGCGTCTGCAGAAAGTCTGCAATGAGTAGCTATATGAAAGGGTCTAAACTTGTTGCTGTGTATAATTAGCCTTGTGACCTCAACGAGGTTTGATCCACGCACTTAGCTGGTATAAATTGGGGTATATAACTCCACTCCTTATTACTGCATAGACTAATTTTATTGGTCGTGATACAGTCTCAGAAATTTCAATATGTTAACGTAACCGGTGTTTCTCATCTGATTTGGACTGATACAAGCAGATATGTGATAGGCAAATCTTTGACGCAGCAATGGAATACCCCGGTAAAGGTTTGGGTGTATGTGGTACTGGCCTCCTTTCACGATTTGTTGCGGTTGGTCATGTGTTCAGCTGGAGACACTGCATACAGTTAGTCACTATTAACAGTGCTAACTGTCAGGGGGCGAGATGGCTCAAGTGGTTAGAGCGCGAGTTTACTGACCGGAAGCTCCGTGGTTCGAACCCGACCTCTGCCTCTCGACTTCCCCCGTCTATGCTTGGGCAACCTGACAGTAACCCATCCCTCGTGCTTCCTTCGGGGGGTATGGGAGCTAGGTACAGGAAGGGTGTTACAGCTGAGAGAGAGAGAGAGAGTGTGCTAATAGTCAATATTAATGTACATTCCATGGGTTCCTGTTCAAGATTACTCAAGATTTTGCTAGTAGAATAACTACAAATTTTCTGCAGGTGTTTTGATCCAGAAGCCTTTGATTGTGATAGTTATAGCTACGTTAGGATCTAGTGCGATTGTTGATTTAAACCTGGCTTCAATTCGAGTGTAGGTTCGTACCATTACATGACTCTCAAACATTGTACCGTTTTCAACAACCAATTTAGTTTTTTACAAATGTTTCAACCAAGTTCACCGGAATACTCAATCTTTGCTCGATCGAAATGGGGGGATGGCAAGCTGTGGCCTTCACTCAGGCTGTTCGCCCGATTAGGAACACGGGAAATTCGGGGGCAATTTAAAGTTACCTGAACTTTTCACCGGGTTGCTGGCTGGCTGGCTGGCTGGCTGGCTGGCTGGCTGGCTTTCCGCTTGTCCATACCAAGTCAGCTGATCATTGTTCAAACAGACGCACACTGGAAATCGATAAACGGACCACTAAGGACAATGCTCACTTGTTTCGGCTTCCCGTAAGACAGACCCCCTAGAACCAGACCATCTCTCGGATGCGATCATAATGACATCTTCCGTTAATCACGGTTTTATATCAATTTCTCCTCAGATAAAAACAAGTCTATCTGAAGCCGTGCAACCATTTCAGGCGGTACATCATGGCGACCTTTTTCCTACTCCGTAGAAATTGGATGCAAGCATTCCGTTCCTGATTGTAACGAATTTGTGTGCATCAGTAGGGATTCTAACCGCATTAGCGATCCTACAATCCGCTGTTTGCCGCCACATGTTCTTCGGATGTACCAATCATATACCTGTCGACAGCTAGTGAGTAGATGGCTTCACAACCTTCAGTGTTCACGAAAGAAATAGTGAAATGCCATTGGCAGGATCCGAGTTCTATCCATCTGACTAAATATTCACGCACCATTCGTACTATCGCTTGGGGTGGCCACTAAATTGGCTTTCCAATCTCGACCAGGTAAACAGACTCAGTGCCATCCTACCAGTTAGGTATTTTGCGATGACCTCAACCCAGCTGAAAAAGTACAGTTTGACGATAAAGCGCGTAGTGACGTTGATTAGAACAACCGACTAAAGCCCGCGTTTCATACGGTGACCCGTTCTGTTACCAGGATTCCTCTCGATTGCCACAATTTCGGAGAAATTCAGGAAAAATGTGGTTTTCCTAGCATCAATGCACGTACCAATGCCTTGTATAGAGAGACCTCCAGTTGATAGTTCCTACGCAACCCCGCAGCAACGATTGTTGAGGATAGGATTGTTACTGGTTTCTGGGTGCTTTTCTGTTCTTTGAAACAAAATTGGTCAGTTCAACTGGTTGCGACTTGCGCGGGTTCACTCCTGAGGATGGAGATTCATCATCAGCCTGAGAAGCAGCTGCGAAATTTCCACAGCGAAGACATCCGCGGGATGGTGGTAATCTTGGCTTGGAATATGTGCAAACGCAACCATATTGTTATATCTGCTGATTCGCCAATCTGTTGTGTCTGCTGCTGACCCGCTCCAGTGCCCAGTGACTGAAGAAAAGACTCACAACGGCTATATTCCAAACAAGCAAGTGCGAGAGAGCAAAAGTTACAACGACCTCTCGCTATTCAAAGGGGACTTTCTGACATTGATCCAGGCTGTCTGATAGGCGTTCGTGAACACCCGTCAACATCGATCGTGCCTCTATGAAATGCCTGAACGCTGATCACATTCGATCGTGCTTCTGTGGCGTGCACGAACACTCATCAGCTTTTGCTGAATTGATTGAATGATTGACTGGCCTGGATGCTTTCCGGCTTTCCTGTTGAGTTTTTGGTGGATCAGTAGGTTCCGGGCGTTCTAAGGTTATCTTCAGGAAGCTGATCTTCCTGATGGGTATCTTTCAAGATTCTACTCCTGCTAAACTGAAGAAGACGTATTTTTGACAGACGAAATTAAACAGCTGCTCAGTGGAATTCCACTAGCGTTCATAACATCTGGTTTGTCTGATGACGAAACCATCCATGAGATATCTAATTTCACAGCATGCCAGTTTGAGAAGACAACATCAGTAGATCGGTTTGGTCAACAGAAATCACCCGAGCAAGGACTCATCAAAGTAATCGATACAGCTCAAGGAGCAACAACGATATATATATATATATATATATATATATGCATATGCGGATCAAGGATGCTCCAACGATACTCGCTCTGACATCTTCATTTTAGTTCGAACCGGTTTCGTGTAACATGGTCTGAGTCCAAAACGTTTTACAACAAACGACGAAATGACCTCGACAGCGCATGGTCAGGCAAACCCAAAAGCCTATACTATGATTTTATCACAGAACTGCTTGTTTCCCGTCAGTAGGATATGTGAACCGAGGTGGCTTCTTCTCAGGTCTGAAGATTCCTCGGAGATGTGCAAGATGAGGTCCAGACAAACATGCGTGGGGCCAACTTACAAGTGGAACTCAGTGGTAGGTCGGATGCGCTGAGTTCACACGGGTGCAAAGTTGGTTGCATTTTGTTCCGGACTAAATCATTTCCTTCGAGTAACGAAGCCAGTAAATGCGAAACTCTTTGAACACACGTCCATTTTTTTTATGCATGGCGGTGCATGGTATGCAAGAGCCAACAACAATCGACAGGAAATCGTGTAAAATGGTCTGGTTGCCGAAAAAGAGTCAAAGAACGTCAGAACTTAACTCTTGAGCACTATGCGGATTAAAATCGATATATCAGGCTGCACTCAGCTCTTGGGATTACATACCACAAGTGGAGCGTCAAGAATATGCCTGAGGACATTTCTACACTTGTTTTAAGTACATAGGTGTGGACAACAGGCAATTCTTCAGAAATGTGGAGCTACACTGCCCTGGCAAGAATCAATCTACTCCATGGCCGATCCCACTTTCCCCATGGTTATAAGTGATCTGTTCTCACAAGCTGTTCACTTGTATTTCTGGAGCTCATGTCGTCTCATCGTGGTCCAGATACACCAAAGCTCCAAGAGAGGAATGATTCGCAGAGACTTGGACGCCTCTGTGGCTCACGAAATCTAATCAAAAGGCTTGTTCCCGCACTTAAATCTTTCGTCTCTAGCCATTTTCATTTCTTCGACCCTGAGTGAGGTAAAATAACTGAGTTTATTGATGGTAAACCAAGTGGCTGTTGATTTGTTTGTTGAGCTAAGCAATTCGCTTGTAGCTATTTCTTCACCACTTGTATGGAAGTTTTCTGTAAGTAGAGGGGAGATTAACTCCATTTTATCTGCTTGCGTTAATATAGTTTTTAAAAGGGTAGTTTATATAATTGGGATGATTGGTTGATTAGGTTACAACTCTGTGGTAGTTTCACTGGCCCGTTTACTATTTGTGCTGCGTTGCGGTCAAGCAACCTCCCATTCAACTGGTCCGTTGAACAGACTTCAAAAAAAACCGTGTTGCGTTCTCGTCCGGTTTCCCTCAATCCAGTCCTTCTTAGTTAACCCACCCGTGTTCCGATATTTCGACACATTGCTAGTTGAGTTGATTAGCTGAATCCACTGAATCCCGAAATTTATGCCAAGTGTTTATCCGTGAGCTGACCTCTGACCTCGCCGGTCTCTGGCCGTTCGGTGAAGCAAGAAGTTCCCAGTGGAAATACAAAGGGCGAGTAATCAGGTGTCAGTCCATCACCATTTCAAGGAATAAAGCCCTTCGCCGCGGAGTTGTTTATTAGCAAACACCAGGAACGTAAACGTCTCATATGCACCTTGTCTTAAAAAAAAGATCATTCTCACGCGTCTAATTGGACTTCCCTAGATATTCATTGACTATCGCGTAACTGTAAACGAGCGCTGCACAGCAGTTCCACAAGTTCCGTGATAAACCCCAGCTTCTATTAGACGCGAGGCGGAGTTTCGATAGAACCACATACTACTCGCATTCACAAGCTGTTCACTTGTATTTCTGGAGCTCATGTCGTCTCATCGTGGTCCAGATACACCAAAGCTCCAAGAGAGGAATGATTCGCAGAGACTTGGACGCCTCTGTGGCTCACGAAATCTAATCAAAAGGCTTGTTCCCGCACTTAAATCTTTCGTCTCTAGCCATTTTCATTTCTTCGACCCTGAGTGAGGTAAAATAACTGAGTTTATTGATGGTAAACCAAGTGGCTGTTGATTTGTTTGTTGAGCTAAGCAATTCGCTTGTAGCTATTTCTTCACCACTTGTATGGAAGTTTTCTGTAAGTAGAGGGGAGATTAACTCCATTTTATCTGCTTACGTTAATATAGTTTTTAAAAGGGTAGTTTATATAATTGGGATGATTGGTTGATTAGGTTACAACTCTGTGGTAGTTTCACTGGCCCGTTTACTATTTGTGCTGCGTTGCGGTCAAGCAACCTCCCATTCAACTGGTCCGTTGAACAGACTTCAAAAAAAACCGTGTTGCGTTCTCGTCCGGTTTCCCTCAATCCAGTCCTTCTTAGTTAACCCACCCGTGTTCCGATATTTCGACACATTGCTAGTTGAGTTGATTAGCTGAATCCACTGAATCCCGAAATTTATGCCAAGTGTTTATCCGTGAGCTGACCTCTGACCTCGCCGGTCTCTGGCCGTTCGGTGAAGCAAGAAGTTCCCAGTGGAAATACAAAGGGCGAGTAATCAGGTGTCAGTCCATCACCATTTCAAGGAATAAAGCCCTTCGCCGCGGAGTTGTTTATTAGCAAACACCAGGAACGTAAACGTCTCATATGCACCTTGTCTTAAAAAAATCATTCTCACGCGTCTAATTGGACTTCCCTAGATATTCATTGACTATCGCGTAACTGTAAACGAGCGCTGCACAGCAGTTCCACAAGTTCCGTGATAAACCCCAGCTTCTATTAGACGCGAGGCGGAGTTTCGATAGAACCACATACTACTCGCATGCCTCATCAGTAGTGTCCGCTGGCACACGAGTTTCTAGTTCTACACAATTTTGTGACAGTACCTATAAGGGGCAAAATTTCGGCGAGTTGAATATTGGTTGAGTAGAAAAATGGGAAAGCACTTGAACCCACTTGAGTAACTCACTTGAGCAATTTTACAAACGATGGGCCTATTTAAGTGAGCTGTGGAAATTCTGTTCTGAATCATTCAATGTGCAAATTAGGCTGAATTACAATATTGCAAGATATTATGCTCGCTGGCTGTGACCAAACTTGGCTATGACTATTCATGGCGTGCACTTCGAATGTCGATAAGGCCGTTGTAGAACACTTTTCTTACATCTTTTTTTATTTTCCCGGAAGATTCGGACCAACTTCAAACTCAAATCCGACATGACGAACGACGGTGGAGCGCGGCTGATTTAGATGAAGATGGGAAGCTTTCGTTTCCCGAGTTCGCAATGTTCCTTCATCCACATCTGTACCCAGTCATGAGGGCTGTTTTGAGTGCGGTGAGTTTGCTTGTGTCTGAGCTTGGCTTGCAATGAAGCTTTAATAAGTCACGTACTACTGTGTTTCATCAAACGTTTGTCCAACGTGAGGCGATTATCAGGCGAGCTACACTAGTTGGGAGTCAGCGGTGACTGGAAGGTCAACGGATGAAAGTCTGAAGACCGGTGATTCATCCCTGAACGACGAGAACTCTCAGTTCGAGGTAGTCTATAGCAAGTTTGTCGTGTTTGCTGCGAAATAAGTGTGAGGAATTGAGGGAATGCTCTAGACTAGTAAGATGTCCACATTGTCGAGAGTAGTACTGATCTCTTTTTCAAGAAATGAAATCTTAAGTGTTGGATATGAATGCTTAAAGTCCTATCTATTAAAGTCTGAAGGTCACACATCCGGAATGGAACTTCTTTCGTTACAAATGAACTCGGAAGAGGCCACCAAAACACTAGTCATAGGTCAAACATGTGTATTCAGCCTGAAACTCAGAAGTTTGCAGACATTTCTGCCTTTGGTGCAAGAAGAGTCGACTGATCCAGGCACGCTTCGAAACTGGAAAAGAAATGATGCTTGTTGCCCTCAGCTTTCTAAGCAGTCGTGTTTGTGGGATTTTCTTTGAGGTCACACTAACTACCGAACTAAATGACCTCGACTTCCATGCAACGTATGTCTCTGTTTCAGGAAGTTTTGGAGACTATGGACCAAGATAAGGACGCTCAAGTGTCTGAAGAAGAATACATCAGTAAGATGTCTCAATTTTTTGCTGCTGTACTGGTTGCCATCTGATATCTTTGTGTCACGGACTCACAGCAGCTCTTATCAATCTGTTTTCTTCTCCCAGTTTTGACTCCCCACGCACCGGAAAGAGTTCATTCATTTTTTACACACCCATTTCGTACTTCAGTGGACAACCTTTCCTGCAGATGAGTGCATTTCTATGCAGTTTCAGCACCTAGACCCCAAAAAGAAGACGAAGAAATCAAGCGTTTCCGACTCGGAAGCGATCACGTGACCATGCTTGGTCGTTCATTGCATTCCACCGTTAGACGTGGTCACTCTCAATCTAAAAATGGCTCACCAGACACGTCACTTACAACTAGTCTCTGGAATCCGATACTGCATTGGAAAATTCTCGAAGAGGCTGCCTCATGGCTCCAAACAAGAAGTACATCTAGTGCACTTTCCCGATTAAAATCTTTCCCAAAAAGTAGTAAAAAATCACACCTCCCCTTTGTTTCCCAAAAAGTGTTTTTTTTAATCGTCATCTTCCCGCTTGTCCTAGGCGTACTCAGCTATCTGTTTTCTCCAAAAAATTGCTGGTTTTAACTTTGACAGAGTTTCGTATGATGCCAAACAGACATCTGTTTTGTTCAACCGGATAGATTCCGTGTCCATCTGCTCTAAATGTGGGATATAGTTCCGTTTCTGACCACAAGACTTTGTCGTTGTCTTGTGTTACACAAACAGAACAAATCCTCTACACAAGGTTAGTATACAGTTCTCCCCCCTTACAAGAAATATCTGAGCGAGTAACGCTCCCAAGTGCGGAAACGCACCACCAAAGTGCGAATCTCCCTGACAAGCAATAGCATTGGACAATTTTCGGTCACCGCGGCTTCCTTGTTAAACCGTCTGTCACTACATTGTTATACTTGGGTTCAACCGCACTTCCCTCACACTTGAAAAAAAAGTTCAAAGTGAATCAGAAGACACGTAGTTAAGGCCATGGGCCAGGCAGGTTGGCCACGTAACAGGTGTGCAAACGACTGAGTCACGTGTACAGTCATCCCACAAGCAGTTCTCTGATGTACTGAAGGATAGACACAAACGCGTGCAAACCAATCGGACACGCATACAATCAGCCAATAAAGTCGCAGGCCAGATTGGTAGTGATTGACAAACGGACACACGCGCGCAAACCCTCTGACACATCGTGAGTCGTCGTTGGTCTCTCCAAAACGCCGAGTCGCATTTCTCTTAAATCGTTGAGACACGAGTCAAGCAAACAACTGGGGATGCCGTTGTTCTATGGAGTGTAACAAACAAAACTTCATCAGCTGTGGTGCAAATAGCAGTTCGTGGATGATGATTTAGACGATACGTGTCAGAACACCATCCTCCAGCCCCTCATTGGCTAGCCTAGCATCCGAAAAGAAATATCCGTCCGAGACGCCAAAGTTGATTTTCCGTTGAACTGGATGGTAAATTCTGCCAAGTGAGAGGATGAAAGTCAAACACATTTCCTGTAACAACGGATGAACAAATCACAGTACTTCTCTTGTGGTCCATGAAAAGTGTGGACATTCCACGACAGTTTTCGACATATTTGAGGCTCACCAGGTGGTGTATCTGACTGCTGTCCAAGCTCCAGTGCCTAGCGCCGGAAAAAGAATCGCGGACAAGGAACACGACACCATTATTGCGAACAAGCGAGTGTGCAAGTGCAATGGCCTCAGGCAATTTTTATTGAGTGGCACTGTCTGACCTTGGTCTAACGCTGTCCGCGCTGCCTGGCTTTGATAAAAGGTTGTCCCGTGCTACATACTGAGGGGGCGTTGTCTGACCTTGATCCAACGCTGTCTGGCTTTGATTCAGGGCTCTCTGGTAGAATGGTGGGTCTCAATTGATTCCGGGTATCCTGTGGTTACTTTCGGGAATCTGACCCTCCTGATACCAGGTAGACGCACTCCTTGAGTCTTCGCCAACCCTAGGTTCTCCTAAACTGTACGCGTGTTGCAATAAACAATCAGTTGGTGTTAACGCAGACCTAAACGAGATTTCCACGGATCTCCCGTTTGTTGTCTTCTTCGTGTAAATGTGCTGTGCAAAGGCCGTCCTTGAAGCGATATTTAAGAAATCCCAGCCCATTTTCTCAACGAAACATACTACTCGTACAGTTGCTGAAAATTCTTCGACATCCCACAGTCAATTTGCTATCCTTGGGAATCATCAGGTAGCAAAGTTCCCGTCAAATTTATTTCCTACCTGAACAGGAAACTGTACGCACATTGAAGTATAAACTTATCATTCGGAATTGACCATGGCGCTAACAGAAGGATCAGCCGAATCTAACCCGAATGTCTCGTTTCTCACATCCCTAAACTGAAGTGCTGCATACAGGTTTCCTGCATAATATTTAACATACCAGTGTATCCTTTTTTACACAATACTGTTTACAAGGCTGAAGAAAACCATCTGACAGCCCACGAGATATTCAGCGGATATCCAATTGTTCAAACCAAATGATTTCACTCGTTCAGCCGAAACTCCCTTTTGGTGCCTAACTGCCATGCTACCTGAAGGAAGCACGAGGGCTGGGATACTGCCAAATTGCCCAAGCCTAGGCAGGGGAAGTCGAGTTCGAACCACGGAACTTCCAGTCAGTAGATTCGTGGTCTAACCGCTGAACCATCTCCCTCCCTCCGCCTTGCAAATGTTTTGGTTTACTCGAATGATAAAATGCATGTGCGATGTGTTTTTTATCGGAGATTTTGTGTTTGACTCTAATTACACGTAAACTCGGTTTTCTCGTATAACATAGGTGAAATTGCACGAGCTCATCGAAGGGTTTTCTACAGAGGACTGCCGCAACCGCCCTGGGTGGATAGAGAGAAAGTCCAGTTCCGGATGTATTTGGACCTCGACAAAAACGGGAGTTTAGATCAACAGGAGATTGGAGAGTGGCTTTTTCCCAAGGATTATGATGAAGTGGATTCGGAAGTGTTACACCTGCTTCTCTATCTTGATTCAAATCAGGTGAGTCGGGATGCGTACAGTCTGTGCACATATAAAACATAACCAGATTTGAACGTGTCTAATCCCCGTCGCCAAAATGAAAGTCACTTAACGCAAAGTAGACTGTACAAGTGGTCTTAGTGATCCTGAGCGTAAAAACTTTGATCAGACCCGAATATTTGTAGGAACCATGCACAAAGGCTGCCCAACCGTCGGTGCCTTCACGAATGTGACTTGCATGTTGGAACGATTCAAGGCTATCTTTGGTTGATCTACTCGCTGAAACTACCCTGGTCATCGTGGACTTTCAAATTCCAGTCATCCGAAGAGAATAGATCCGTTCTATTGAGCTTTAAGCCAGGTTCCCGAACTCTCACATCAGTCAAGTTGGGTGGGCATGTGAATTCAAGCCTTGGAAGGATAAATCACTTGGCAACATAAGTTCAGCCCCCACTCAAGATCTCGTGCACTTTGTTAATGACAGAAAAAGGACTATCCCATTCAAGATCTGATCATTCAAACCAATTGCATCACATCACCTACCTATTATCAAACATCAGGCTGGGAAAAATACGCGGTAACTTTGTTGGAATGACCACAGAGAGTAAAAACGGGACCCATTGGCCGAACGATACCCTTATCTGCAAAACATTTGCAAGTGGCAGAAAACCTTTTGCGCAAAAATGTTGGATTTTGTCGCGTATGTGATCAGACTAAAAGTCATCTTAACTTACGTCCATATTTTCGCAGCCCACCAAATTTCATTTTTCACGGACGCAATCATACCTCTGGCGGAAAAGTCTGGTTGAATAATTCCCCAGCATCCGAGACCCTGGGATGCCAAGATGAGGCTTAGAAGTTTGGACTCGTACTCTAAACCCAACTACCTGTCTCTTTTAGTCCATCAGCGACACATCGTAGCTTTCGAAAATTCAATTCCATTGTGCGAATACTGATCATCGTAAAAACATATCTAAAATCGATGCTTTAAAGTGCATGTTGTCTGACATGACAAGAGTGCACCAGAGGATTGTGCCGAGGTTGAACAAAGCATCTGACAAGATATCGTTTCACATTCCCGTACGAATATCCCAACAACTGTTACAGGATGTTAGGACGTTCTCGTACGTTTTCGCCCGAGAAATTTGGGAGAACAGCATGAGACGAAAATAATGTGATCAAAAAGAAGTTAGCAGACACCAAGTGGTGCTTGTCCGTGCCCGATGTGGGGGTGCTTGATTGCATGGGTGCGTGCGTGCATGTCCGTGAGCTCGTTTTTAAATCGAGGCTGATAGGACAAAGCACCAAGCCTCCTATAGTGACCTTTGAATTTTAAACTATAACGCCCAAGTGGGGCGATCCTGGAGTAAATGGCATGTGACCCCCATGGTAGCGTCGCCTGAGAGGCTTCTTCTGGCTGACCGGCAGTGCTCTCGATGATTCTGAAAGTGGTCCCGTAGATCCGAATATTGTTAACCTCAAAGTTGGCTGAATTTAAAACACACTGGTGAAAGCTTCACTGTGATTCTCATGACTGGTTCACTGCCACCTCCGAACATGCTTATCTGCAAACAGCTTATCTTGGCGCCCTGTCTAGTGACGGAAACAGGTTGAAGTATTGAAGTATTGATTCATTTCCTTCAACTTTATCAGCCCGAGATTTTCTACCGTCTGTTTATTTTGTTTTTGCTGTCTGGAGCCCGTCTCAGCTGAGAGTGAGGACAAAAGATGTACCTCCAAACAAGTCTTGAACATTTTAATCGATAAATCTATACAAAATTCCAGAATATTTTGGGCTTTACTAGCCTTTTGATTGACATCGCCCGCGAAATCGCCCTTCAGGTTATCGGCTGTCTTATCACAGTGGAGAACATAAATAGGGTAGAGGTGACGCTTACACTTTGATGACAAGCTCATCTGAGGTAGAAGACCTCAAATATGCCGAGTAATGAGCACTAGGTCAGTGTCCTTTCTCATCTGAGGTAGAAGACCTCAAATATGCTGAGTAATGAGCATTAGGTCAATTAGTCGTGTGTCCTTTCCATTCGGTTTACATTGCTCCTTGACCAATAACGCAACTTGCCCTCTCCATTGACATATTACAGGATGGTGCCTTAACGAGAAGTGAGGTCCTGCAGGATCTACACTTGTTCCTACGGAGCCAGGTGACTAACTTTGGAAATGCATTGGAGTATTACTACGAACTGTAAAGTTGGTAATTCTTTTTTTATACATCCAAATTCGCCTTCATTCACCGCTGCACGTAAGACGACAACAAATCACTGAAAAGGCCTCGTAACATCTGCCCCGAAACCAACAAGATATCGATGTAATATTTTTTTCATTACGTAACATTGTACACCCCAACAAAACCTTAGTTTGCAAACCTGCTATATTTTTTCATCGTTTTTATCCACTCTCTTTATTGTACTTTGAAGTTAGAAAAAACACTACGACCTCACACGTTGCTATCTAGGAACACCCATGTATGGTTTCCCCATAACAGAGCACGAGTAGTCTGAGCTGACACTGGGCCGATTTATTCGCAAGACCTACCAGTGTTAGGAAGAAGGTTCTTCGCCGTGAATTCGTTGGTTAGCGAACACCAACTAAACAGTTAGAAATTATTCAACAGGAAAACGCATATCTCATATGCACCTTGATTTTGAAAACTGAACGCCCTCATGTGTCTTCTCGAACGTTCGTGAATTTTCATTGACCATCACGCTATTGTAAATAAACGCTGCAAAGCAGTTCCACGAGTTCCGTAATAGACCCAACCTTCCACTAGACGCGAGGCGGAGTTACGAGAAAATCGCATGCTACTTGCATGTCTTATAAGTAGTATTCGCCGTTACACCAGGACAGGGAAGCCGCTGAAGCCAACACAGGAACCAGCTTCCCTCCGTTGAACGCAGGCCTGCCAACTAAGAGGAGTACGGAGACAGCAACTGACCAATCAGAACACTGAGAATCATCAAACAGACAAGGTAACTCATCAAGGTCACAGGACACTGCAGCAAGCAGTCATACGATTGGTTGCGTTCGATTCAGCGCGTGCGGCAGACTAGGTGCTGTGAGGCGAGTGTTTGTCACGATATTTTCCAATTAAAGTCGTCCATATTACATAAGAACAAGTAAAATCAATGAAATATGATACATAACATTTTTTCCACCAAAGCAGCAAGTTAGTACCTTGAGCAAAGGCCTGGCGACGAAAACTTTAAACTGCAGTCATCGGTTTCCTGGAGGATTTCAATGCTGAATACAAAACAATTCCACAGGAGTAGATTCATACCTTCGAAAATTGTGTTATAAATTAGCAGAAGGGTCGGAAACCTTAGGTCTCGAACTTTTCGGAGGTTTTTGCTACGTAGGTTGCTTGTCTGCTCGCGAATACACCTAAATTATTCAAGCGTTTGCCTACTCATGAGTAGGTGGAATTGTCTTTAACCTTGTGATGGTCGCCCTGGCTGGCCTGGACTTGAACTTTGGGCTTGGGTCCACGAGTGAAAATTTCAAGCTAAAAGCTGGCGGCAATCGGTCGGTGACTCCATTCCTGAAGCGTTGGAGTGGTAAGAGCCTATTCACGTACTCACTGACTGCCCAAGACAAACAGCGTACGTAGATCCATTACTCACGAATTTTCACTGTGTTACTCTACATCCACTCTCGATATCGCGTACAGGCTGCTCGTCAGAGATTCCGGACGTATGCGAGTCATTTCCCAGCCTTCTGCACTCCAACGTCAAAACACGAAAATGTTTCGTACACGACGTATTCCTGGGAAAAAGCACCGTCATATGCTCTCTTCTATTAAAAGATTTCATTCGAAGACAAGCACGCTACATTATTTTGTGCATCGAATTTTTCACCGAATTGTTGTCCACAAACAGTCAAAATGTGTGGGCGACGTTTTATGAGGTCAAAGCACATGTTTAAGCACGTAAAAAGTATAATCTAGAAAACCTCCACGTTCTACCGCACGCAACACTACCACAGCCGTTAATGCCGTCCCTCGGCAAACTCTAAACCGTCTTATGTCTGGTCAAAAGCATCTCATTTGTCTACATCAGGTAGCCATCAAATCAACTTCCATATGCTTGGTGGTTGCTCGGCTTTGCTGCTGAAAAACGTGAGCCACGCATGTTGCTTTGTGCACACTTCCTATCATACATTAATACAAGGGGTGATGTGCACGTGACAAGCATGTGATCTGATTGACCCATATTCTAACCGGCACGTAGAGAGGAGCAATCTTATAACGGTCCTTTCCTTCCGCCTTTTTAATATGAGTTTTGTCAAGATGGTTTCAAAGGGACAAACCTCAGTCTTTGGACAGAAAAAAACGGTATATATACGTCCAAACATTTTAGCAGCTGAATGCCGACCAGATGATGCCCTCCAGCATTTTCTTTTCCTGTGTCCATGCAGATATAGGTCAGTCTATTGTCACTTTACCTATTCTTGACTGAAAATTCCAAAGTCAATCGGTGTCACCGGAGGCGCATTCTCATCAACCTGGGGGTTTCACCTTTAACTGAATTGTCGACAGCCTTCCAACAGCCGTGGATCTGAGAAGCTGGAGCAGTATGTCGAATTCATGGAAAATGGACAAAATGCTCAAAGCAGCTCTCATCCGGTTGGACAAAAATCCGCCATTAATTTGATGTCGCAAATGCGTCCTGGTCCACAAGCCGAGCGATATGCACTATTTGAGGCGCAATAATTCTATACTACCCGTCTGACTTCAGTAGTTCGAATAGATTGGGGAGTAGCATGCAATCTTGTGTGGCCCAGGCGACTGCCAGCCAACCGTAAATTATTCTGAAACCACATTAGAGTTCAATGGTGGTGTAGCCTGGCAACAAATTTCACCCTGCAAGTTTGTCAGCAAATTTCACGCGACGAATTGCCCACTGATTTACTTCTCACTTGAAAATATTTTCGTGTCGGGTTTTAACCCTTAAGAAAAAGAACTAATCCTGAGGTGTGAAAATTCTGATTGATTCATTGCAGAACGTGGTGCTGACAGTTTCAACTGGAATGGACAGATAAGAATGGAAAGAAAGGTGTGGCAGCTGCGGACTGGTGACCACCTAGAAAGGAGGAAACTTTGAAGATTGTGTGGGAAGCTTTAGGCACATTATCATCCCGCATTCAGGAAGGATATCGAAATGAAAGCATCCATATATTGAGCCTCAGCAACATCCAAAAGTCTAAAAACTGCTACGGGTCATCCAACATGTCCACTTAGTCCAGATTTCTCCCCAGTCGATATACGTTTCAGGTTTGCTTCACTATCCAAGCTTGCACGGGAGTGTCGGTGGCCAAAGCAGCAAACAGAAACGAAAATCAGCGAATATACACGCTTTTGAAAACTAATTTGGTTTTGCGAGAGACTCGCCAGGAACTCAGCTGAATCTCTCGTTTGTAGTGTTTCAAGGCACCTGAATGTGTTGCACCAGGACGCCTCATGTTTTAGTCGTTA